AAGACACACTTCAAAAAGATATAGGGCACCAGCCACTAAATACAACATATGTTATAAAAAAGGACATAGAACAAAATTCTGCAGGAACAAAAACAATACTCAAGGAAATAACTCCAACTATAATTTCAACAACAATTCCAATAATCAAAGGGATGGTAAATCCTATTTGAACCTTTCTGTTGAGGAGCTATTCCAAGTTCTTCAATCCACAATGCAATCTTTAAACTAAATAGGGCACCCCTGGGAAATGGGAGTGCTGAGAAACAAAAACCCTTCACAAATGCAAATATTTTAATGAAAAGGAATGAGAAAACTAAACAACAACAAGTGGTAGATGCAATGTATTGTGAAGCTATAGTGGAAGGCCATCCAACTTATCTGATCTTGGATACAGGTGCTGTAGGAAGTGTAATTACAAAGGACTTCTTAAGAAAAATTAATCGAACAGTGGATTTATCCTCTAATATGAATATGATTGATATTCATGGAGGAAGGAAAAGGTCATTAGGAATTGTCAAAATATTTTAATCAATATAAAAGGGAATATTGTATTAATTGACATGGAAGTAACTGATTCAAAGAACTATATTGTTATGGTGGGAGGAAATTGGTTTTCCAAAACACATGCAGTGATTAATTACAAAACAAGGATTATGAAATTTGAATAGCAAGGAAGGATTTGTTGAACCCATGCCACATGTTGGGAAAAACCTGAATATAAAAGTGATAAACCTAAAGGAATTATCACACAATATCAGGAGGAATCTTTTGAGGATGAGGATCCAATTGAATATGAAATTGAACAGCCTTTAAATGAATCAAGGTTTTGTTTAATTTCTGGAGATACCAAGGAAAAACCTTTGGTACAAATTAATAAGGAATCTATTATAATTGAAGGCAAACATGAATCTTTAGAATATGTGAAGAACTTAAAAAGGACAATGGAACAAAAACCATTGGATGGACGCATCACAGGATACCATTGAAAAGGTTCAAATGTTATCTGTTGGTGTGATAAAGTTTTGGAATTGGAGGAGAACATTTGTGAAAAATGTCATACCTAATTTAATGAATAGAATTTATTGCAACACTTCTACAAGGACAAAGATATAATTGAAAAACCTTGTTATAGTAACAAGTTGGAGGAAAATAGTTTAACCTTTAAACAACAACAACAATTGAATGAATTGTTGAACAGAAATAAGGATCTGTTTGCAAATGGATTGGATCAATTAGGATGTACTCATCTGGAAACTTATAGGATCCCAACAAATGAAACTATACCTATATGACAAAGGGCATATAGAGTATCTCCTACTGAACAAAAATTTATTGAGGAGGAAATTAAAAACATGTTGGAAAATAATATTATACAGCCCTCTACAAGTCCATAGATATCACCAGTAGTTTTGGTCAAAAAGAAAAATGGAAAAACATGGTTTTGTGTTGACTATAGGAAGCTCAATTCTGTTACAAAAAGGGACTCTTATCCATTACCACGAATTGATGAAATATTGGATTCACTTGGAAAAGCTAAATGGTTCTCATCATTGAACTTGGCAAGTGGATATTGGCAAGTTGAGGTTGAACCAAAGGACAGGGAAAAAACTGCCTTTATCACAAAACAAGGCATATATGAATTTATTGTTATGCCTTTTGGACTTATAAATGCACCTGCAACTTTTCAACGACTAATGGATAGGGTTCTGTGCAAGAAAAAGGAAAAATTTGTTCTAGTTTATCTTGATAATATCAATGTATATTCTGAAACTTTTGAGGAACACTTGCAACACCTTTAGAAAGTTCTCAATAGGTTGAGTGATGCTGGATTAAAATTAGGAATTGAAAAATGTCACTTTTGCAAAAATGAATTGGTATTTCTAGAACATGTAGTTAGAAAGGATGAAATTACTCCTGACTCTACCAAAGTGGACAAAGTGAAAAATTATCCTACTCCTACAAATACTACTGAGTTAAGAGGATTTATTGGATTGGCATCTTACTACCGTCAATTTATTCAGGATTTTGCAACAATTGTTAAACCATTAAACAAATTGTTAAGGAAAAATCAACAATATCAATGGAATAAATAATATCAAAAAGCATTTGAAATTCTTAAGGAAAAATTAACAACTGCACCAATCTTAACATATCCTGACTTTGAAAAACCTTTTATCTTATATACTGATGTATCATATTCTGGATTAGGAGTTGTACTTGCTCAAAAGGATAATCAAGGACTTGAACATGTGGTAGCTTATGCCAGTCGCAACTTGGGTCCTGCTGAAAAAAATTACTCTGCAACTGAAATTGAATGTTTGGCTGCTGTCTGGGCAATGAAATACTTTAGGTCATATATTTACATAACTGAATTTGACCTAATCACTGATCATAGTGCTCTACAATGGTTATTTAAAACACCTCAGCCAACAAAATGCTTAAAAAGGTGGATTCTTACAATTAATGACTATCTATTCAAGGTTGTATATAGGAAAGAAAAAATTCATTCAAATGTTGACCCCTTATCATGACTACCAACCCCACAAACTATCAAATCATTATTAATCACAAATAACAACATTGACTATGGAATTGGATGACTATTACAACTTGAATAATTATTTAACCACTAGCAATTTACCAACTGACTGGACTGGACAATGGCAAAAACAATTTAGGAAACTATCGACAAATTATATTATTTACAACAACTTATTATACAGGAAAAACAAATCAAACAGTAATGAACCACTTAGGATAATCAAAATTGATAAACTGGAAACTTTTTTTTTTTTATAGTAGAATGGTATTAGATGCAGGGATTTTATTGAAGTAATTATCAATGTTACATATTCTGTACATCAAACATCGTCTATTGCTATTATAACAGCTAAATGCTAGCCTATCTACTTTTATTGCCCCAGCAATATTAATGCCACTCTTGGAGTGGATTATTATATTTTTGGAGGGACCTATCTAGGGGATAGAAATCCTACCACTAGTTTTAAACCATCCAACCTACCGGTCCAATTTTTAATGAGCGGATGAACTGAAAACTATTTTATACAATTTATATACAAATTTATTATCAGGACACTTTGGAATTGAAACAACATATAGGAGGTCAAAATCATGATATTACTGGCCAAAAATATATTAAACAATTGCCAATTATGTGAAATCATGTGACACCTGTCAACGTTAAGGACCACTTATAAAAAGTGAACCTTTACATTCACTAAAGGTTAAAAATCTATTTGATCGAATGGGAATTGATATAGTTGAACCTTTAAAAATCACTGATCAAGGAAATCGATATATAGTGATTGCAACTGAATACTTGACAAAATGGCCTGAGGCACGAGCTATTCCTAATATGAAAGCAACAACTGTAGCAAAATTTATATACAAGGATATTATCTGTAGGCATGGATGTTCTAAGGAATTATTATATGATCAAGGAACATTATTTTGCAATGAATTGGTAGACTCACTATGTGAAATTATACAAATTAAATATTGACTTGCATCAGCATATTACTTACAAACAAATGGACTCACTGAACGATTCAACAAAACACTATGTACAACTATTGCCAAATATGTTCATCAATATCAGGACTTATGGAATACTTTTATACCATCTGCACTATTGGTATACCGTACTATACAACATAGTGTGACCAAATATGAACCATTTGAATTATTATATGGGAGATCTGCCAAGTTACCTATTGATCTGATGGAATCACATGATGATATGCAAGGCACCAATCAAAATTTGGATCAAACTTTGGAACAATATATTGAACGAATAACAATATCATTACAGGAAACAAGGAAAAATGCTCAAAATAATATTCAACAAAATCAGAAAAAACAAAAGGACAGGCATGATAAAAACTTGAAGAAAATATCTTATCAAATAGGAGATCAAGTTTTATTTTATGAATCAGCAAAGGCAAAGGTACATGGCAACAAATTTAGGAATAAATGGACTGGACCATATTATATTCATAACATAATTGCATCAGGAGCTTTTAAACTTAGGACTCAGGATGATAAAATATTACGACAAACAATTAATGTGGAGAAATTAAAACCATATTATGAATGACCTCTTTGGGAACCTCAAATTATTATTTAACATATATTTATTATTTATTTATTTATTATTTTCAAACATTTAAATAGTTATTTATTTAATTAGGATTTTATAATTTCATATTTGTACTGAGTAATTTTATGAATCCATATATAGTTGTAGACGACCTTGGTCCTCGGAAATGTAGGGACCCATAGCATATTGATTTCAGTCTGGTCAGCCATGTAGTGCCCAGCGCAGGATAGTGTTTGAGACTATAGCATTCATGAAATTATTCATTAATAATTCGTTTTCTTTCAATAATTGTCATTATTATTATTATTATACTTATTTTTTTTTCAGGCATAGCAAAAGCACAAATATCAATATAAATTCCTTAATGTTAAAGGATCAAGCAACAAAAGGAAACAAATACTTTCCAAGGAAGTACTTAAACATCTGGAGGAGTATTACAACAAACAGGAACACTAATGGAGAAAAACAAACAAAAAGTTGATATTGAAACAAAAGAACCCACGGAGTAACACCTTTGTTTCAAGTTATCGGCCCAATGAGCAACACAACAACTTGTCACTTATTAGTAGAAAATATTCTATTCAACAAAAACCAAAAACTTTATTAGGCTTCAAAAATAATTATAGTTTTTGCAACAACAAACTTATCCATTGTTTGGATTATCAAAAAGAATACTATTAGGATTAAGTTTGAACCATTCAGGATTGATAATCCAAGTAGGGGACCATACTATAATATCTAAAATCCAAGAAATGGGAGGAGATAATACTAGTATAGGAATCTTATTTTCTTTCAAAATATCTTGAAGTTGGATAACATGTGTTCGAAGGGAAAAAATTTCAGCTTGATAAACCTTTTGTTGACATGAATGTTGATGGAGTCAGGTGGTATTCGCTTCTAAAAGTGATTGAATTCTTTTTCGGTATTGAGTGCCATGAGTTCGCATAAAAGTTTTCAATCGAATGTTACGGATGCACACATCTTTATATTTGTTCTCGAGGAAAACCAATTCTGCACAAAGTTTTTGAAGTTCTTCTTGAAGGAGAAAATCTTGGTCTTGTAAAGAGGTGATTTGAGCCTGATGCTCTGGACATTTATAACCAACAAGTAAATAACCTAAAAATTTAATTTTCTCCTGGAGGAGCATGATACAACCGACCAAAGGATTCTCATGATTAATAGCACGAATAATACGATTGACTCTAGGCATGATGAAAAGGATGAAAACAAAAATGTCTGAAATAACAACTAATTAAATAGTGAGGAAAACTCTAAAAATTCTTATCAAGGAAAATTCAACTGATGGGAAAATTTTGACGATGAAAAAACAAAACAAAGGAAAATTCTGTCAACGTGGGAAAATATATGAATCTGAGATTATTCCAAGTCTAAATTTGGATATGGAGTCATGTGGAAAAATTAAACAATGGTTAAATAATTATCCGATTGGTGCTCAAATGGATTAGGAAAATGGATAATCAATGAAAATCCAGTAAAAACCGAATATAAACAAGGATCTATGCCACAACACAGGAAATTTTGGGGCAGTAACACATGATTACTTATTATTAATTAATTAATAATTAATTAATTTGTTCTTGAATGTGCAG